TAACAATCAGAACTCTGGGTCAAAGTGACAGCAGTTATGTCTGTTTCCTTCTCCTACCTTAAAATCATCAACCTGGGTATTTTAAGATGTCAACAAGAAGGCAGCATTTCAAGCCATTAAACTAGAAAATGATTTTTTGAAAGAAGTGTCTAGAAATTGCTCCAATTTTCCAGAGAAGGTATCCTGTACAATCACTACAATAAATTCTCCTGCTCATTCAGAAGACCAATTTGAATTACCAAGCCTGTCTTCACCATAATTTAAAACCAGTCACTGAAAAATATCATCTCCCCCACAAAAACCTCCCCATAAAACTGGAGTAAATAGATGCCAAAGTAACAATGTATGTAGATAAAGAAGAACTACAAAGGACGAACAACAAAGCATCTGTTCTCAGCTCTTCTGGGGATTGATTGGTAACTAGGAGATTTTTCTGAGTCTTATACATCCTGAGAAGCAGTAAAGTATCCAGTTTTCATTGACCCTCTTCCCTTCGATATCATGTTCTGACCTTCCCTTGCAGTAAGGATCATCAGAGCATTTCAGTGGAATATACTGGATTTCTGTTGTTGCTTGGATGAAGTATGCACTGGGCTGGGCTCACTCAGCCGGACAAAGCAACTCATGCAAATGCCATATTTATGGCATATAAAAATGTGCCGTATTTTTTATTGACTCTGCAATCTGCTCTGTGCCATTCAGAGCAGTTTCATTTTTACACGTGGACAGAGGCAAATCAATTCCTCCAGGTTACACCAGAAGCATGCAGGAGTGTGTCAGAGACCCTCTGAGCTGCAAGCTGGGTGTTGTGCTTTAACCCAGCAGGCAGCTAAAAACCCCACAACTCTTCCCCCAGTGGGATGAGGGAAAGAATGAGAAGAAAAAATAAAACTCATGGGCTGAGATAGAGAGATTTTAATAGGACAGAAAAGGAAGGGGGAGAAAAAATAATACTAATTATAAAAGAATACAAGAAACGAGTGATGCCATATGGTGTGTAATGTCCCCTTGGCCAGTCTGGGTCAGCTGTCCCAGCTGTGTCCCTTCATGTGCCCCCCAGCCTCCTCCCCAGCAGAGCATGAGAAGCTGAAAAGTCCTTGATTTAGTGTAAGCACTGCTCAGCAACAACTAAAACATCAGTGTTTTATCAACATTTTCCTCATTCTACAGCCAACACACAGCACTGCACCAGCTACCAGGAAGAAAATTAACTCTATCCCAGCCTAAACCAGGACACTGGGAAGCTTTTCTCCCAGTGGAAGCACAGGAAGGAAGGAGGCTTATGGGAGTACACGAACTCTTGCTCCTTCAGTAAACCCCACCTCTCCTCAGTTCTGCAAGCTGTTTCACCCTGACATACTGCCACCTTTCCCAAAATGCCTTTTTTTCTTTTACTGACTTTCTGCTCACTGAAGTCCTGGCAGTGCTGAATTGCAAGACAGTAATGATGGTGTATGGACCAAAAGTTTCATTCTGTCTTCTTTCTTGACTAATTATTTTTGTTGGGGTTTTTTTGTGTTTTTTTTCCTGTGAAAGGCACAAGCCCAGTCATTTTTACATCTGCATCTACAGCTAGGCTGCAGAAGCCTAAAACCTGCCTGTGGACTGAACTAGAGCAACACGTAGCAGCAGAAACTGAGTTTCTGTTTGGAGGCTGTGAGCTGACAGAAGATAATGGAAGGTTTACAAGAAAGGTCCTTCCTGAATGATAAATGATTCCTTGTCCATTCAAAGGATCTGACAGACCTATCTATTTGTTCTGCTCTGCACAGAGAAGGGATGAAATGACCTAGATCAACACAAAAGGTGCCACAAAAATCAGATTTTCAATGCATATTCAGCAACTCTCGGCAGCAAATGCACAATAGGTATTTAAACAATAACCCTTGTAAAAACCTTGCTCCCTTGTCATAGGATGCTTTATGTTTGCTATTTTTAGCTTTTCAAGTGTCAAGAAGCAGAAAAAATATTGCTGAACAGCATTGGACACCAAGATAAAACAAGTCAGGCAAAAAGAAATCTGAAGTAAGCTCTGGAAGATGAGGTTAAGTTATTCAAAGCTCTCTTTCCTGCAAGACAGGTGATGCATTTCAGTCTAAATATCCCACTCAATCTGTCCTCAGTGAACAACCAAATGACAAACTGCCAATCAAACTGAAAAGCATCCCCATTCATCAGGGCTTCCCTCGCCACTGCCCTGCTCCGAGCGATGCTTTATCAGCACCTACAGAATCTGAACCCGGCTATTTTTAACAAGTACACCACTTTGCAATCCTGCCCACCAGAAGGATTTGCAAATCTTTCCAAATACTCCTCCCAGGTTCTGATAACTTTGCCAGTGTGAATAGGAAACTTGGGGCTTTCAGAACAAGCCGCTTCTCGCTGACAAGGCAGCGAAGATTTCCTTTCCTATCTGCAGTTTGCATGAGTAGGCAGCTGGGATTGTGATGAATTACTATCTCTGATTCCAGTGCTAAGTTTAAGACATTTATTTGGCAGAGTCTGTTAGAAAAGGCACTGCCAATATCAGCTACTGGTACTAGCAAACTTCTTCGGGAGAACTACCAAAGGTATTTCACAGCCTCTCTCTGCTTATAACAGGAGTCTGTTTGGGAAGCAGCGATTTTTATTGATTGAACTGTAATTGAATTTTGCTGAATGTTTATCTCCAAACACAGTTTCAAAAGAGAAACTAAAACATCTTGGTTTGAAAACTACTCAAATAATTTTCAGTTCTTAGTCACACCTTTTCATGGGGCCAAATCCTTCTCCCAGGCTCACCGGCCACCTTGATTGCCTGAGAAATTGCCTTTCCGACAGACTATTTGCTGTGCATTCCTGTTTCATTTTGGAGCTCAGAGTGTCAGGCTTTCAGGAGCTAGTCCTGCTGGTCTGAACTCTTTGCAGGAACATTGAAAGTATAAAGCCCATGACCAATGCATGTTTGGGAGCTGGAATATTTTCTAACCAGTATTCAACCAGTCAAGGAACTGTTCTGGATTATTATCTGGATTTCAGGAGCAGTCATCTCACTAATGTGCATGAATTGGGAATCTTCAAATCTGCATTGATGTCATTGCAAAAGATTCGACCATTTGATGATAATTGAGCATTTTCACACTGGTAAATAAAGTAAAAAGTCTGTACTCTTCCTGCAGTCCACAATGCTCTTCACCTGACTCACAAGAGAAGACACATTCATATTGATGGTACTATTTTTATGCAATAAGTAACTCAATTGTCCTTCTGCCATGTTTCTTAAATTTTAGATTCTACTTTTGACTTTGTCTAAAAGCCTATAAACGCACCCAAGGTTTTCCACCTACTAAGCTCTCAGTTACCACTTACAAATTTGACATGTACACAATAATTTTGTAGGCAGCACTTTTAAGAACTGCCAGTGGCACATACATAGGCTGTTGTAAACACCAGCTTTGATACTGCATCTTTAACATGTTTCAGAGATGAAAAAGCAAGAACACAATCCACCTAGAACAAATACAAAGCAGGTTACAATCCCCACTTAATTTTCGCTTACTGAGGCCATGTATGTATTTTTGTTGTTGTTGTTATCATTATAAATGGTAGTAGTAGTAGCATTGATTATGTTTCTGTGGGTCTCACCCCACCCTAAGTCATTTACCACTGAGTTCCTTCTGTGGGACTCTCCTCTGCAGGGCAACAGAAGTCCCCACAAAAAAAGAAAAAAAAAACCCAAGGGACATAAATATCACAATATATATAAAATCCTCTATACCCACTTTATTCTCTAAGTCTCCAGATTGTGTAAATACCACAAAGCAGTTTCAACAAATGGCACACCAGCACCTACAGGGTTTAGATGACAATAGCTCATTGATGCTCTACCTTGGGGATTTGCTTTTTATGAACTTGGAAATGTTTTGGAACACATCAACCCATCATGTAGAGATGATGTTCAGCAGAAATTTCATTGCACCACAATGCAAGAGTCCTAAAACTGCAACCTCTCTTTAAAAAGCACGTCAAAATCTCCAAACAAATGGCTTTAATCTTCTAAGGACCTAGAAAGACTCTAGCAAGAAAGCTTCCTTTTTATAGTTCAGTATTTCTCTGAGATGAGCTCAAAGTATTAGCTGAGATAATTATCAGAGAGATTATGCAGATCTTATTATCAAAAGGTTTTGTTTGCTCTCTTCATACATAATTGCTTAGTGTTTGTATGGAGCTCAGAAAATAGAAAGCAACAGAGAAATACCAAGAGTTATTTAACAGAGAAATAATTCTCCCAAATGGTATTAACATTTTAAGTTGTCTTCACTATATTTGGAAGATTTCTGTTAACCTGTAGAGCTGCTCAGTGGTCTAACCTTGGCAGCACATGAAATGGGAAATGTGCCTTACCACTATTGGTTTTAGAGTATTTCAGTGGAGCTGTGAAACAGCAGGAAGCAGAGAAAAGGTGCAATATAGTGTCCTTTCATTTCCTTCACTTCTAGCTTTGCTGGTGACATTCAGAAGATAAAATTAGGACTTGTAACTCAAACCATTGCAATAAAGTACACAATCAGTTTATGGAATCACTAACTGTTTCAAGAATTGGATGAAACCACATGAAATGTTTCCAAGCTTGTGCGAGTTTATAAGCAAAACTCAGATTAGTCAGACTCCCTGAATTTGAATACACTTTGTACTTTTAACCAAATTCTAGCCAAGACCTTTCAAATGTGACAAAAGCCATCCTTAAAGCAAAAAGTGAGGCCCTGAATTCAATATAAACTTGTCATAGGGCACACTTATGTATCCAGAACACTTAATTTTGCAAAGAACTGAAAAGCTACAGCAACGACACCATTTCAATTCCTGCTTTCCGTAATTCCAAGTTCACTTTGTGATTATTTACGGGGCCTCCAGATTTTTTTAGGATGTCGAGAAAGCTTACACCAAGTGTGCTATGCAACCCTCACGCCAGCCACAGAACCCCCCTTGGGTTAAACACAGTAAAACTGAGTCCTACTTACAGCCAACCATCATCATGGCCACGGAAAAGATCTTCTCCCCATCAGTGGTCGGTGCTATGTTTCCAAATCCTATCGTTGTAAGGCTTGTCATGGTAAAGTAGAGAGAGGATATGTACAAGGAGTCTTTGCTGGGTCCTCCTTCCCACTGCCCTGAGCCAGTGGTGTTGTATCGATATGGTGTCCCAATGCTCAGGGCCAGCTGGTAGAGCCAACTGTCTGTTTTGATTGTGTTGGTGAGTTCATCTATCACCTCGTAGTCCCCGATGCTGTACCATATGCAGGCGAGCCAGTGGGCCACCAGTCCAAACACACACACCAACAGCACCAGCACAGCAGCACCATATTCCAGATAATGGTCCAACTTCCTGGCAACCCGACCGAGCCGTAGAAGACGCACCACTTTTAAGGAACTGAAGAGGCTACTGATTCCCTAGAAAAGAACAAAAATCGTTATTTAATCTCATATATCCTGCTGGTTAGCACAGAAGGCTGTACAGCAATTCCTGCATCTGCTTTCAGTCTTTCTGTATAGTTTTTCAGGCCTCAGATAACAGAATACAAGATCAAACCCTTCTCCCCTTCCAGTGCTTTTATCCTCATCAGTCTGAATCAAGTTTGGCACTCATTAGGTGGATAAATTACTTTGTTCAAACTCAGTCTTCCAAATTAAGAGTTCTGTAGAATCCAAAGTGGGAAATGGCAAGTTTATTACAAAAAGGAGCAATTCAATACTTCGCAGTTTGAAGTAAACGGGAGACTCTGCTTTGACCTCAAGGAGATCAAATGAGGTGGAAGAGCAGTCACAGACAGAACTATGGACAGATTCCATTCAAGTGAAGTCTCCTCAGAGTTTCTCAGAGAAGAATATTCTATTAAATCCAAGCAGAGGATTATTTATTCTGGTCAAAATGGTGGTCCACCTACCTCAGTAACCCTCAACATCAACAGGTGCTCAAGAGAAACATCAGAAAGTAATCATAATGGGTAACTCAGAGAAATCTGCCCATTGCCACTCTCATCCACCAACCAGGAGCTGAGTAGCTTCCTCTAGTCCAACAGTCTCCACTCTTTATTAACCTGCACCCCAGGTAACATAAGTGTGGCTATTTTGTTATTTATAAGAAGGCTCACTGACTGAACACGGAATTAACAGCTCTGGTCCCATCACCCTTCTGAGCGAAGGTAATGCAGATCACAAGCCTTAGCATAAAGGGTTAATTTCTTTCCAGTCAGCAGGCATGTTTTTCTAAAGCAAGTGTTTGTGCAGTGGTTTGGGGGTTTTTCACACAAGATACATGAAGTACAAATAAATGGAAGTACAAATATTTAGGGAATAAGAGCGCAAGGGCCATCAAAAAGTTAATAGAAACATCTGAGGGGGAATAAGAAATGTGCATGTCCTGCTCAATGCACAAACGGTTTGTGCTGTATCTTAATAGAGTTTAGAGATGCAGAGAGAGAACAAAAATATGTTCCTGATCTATTGCAATCCCATGATATATCTAACTTGTGCATTAAATTAATTAATGGCTCAAAATAGAAGGTTTGTAAAGGAAGATTTCTAATATAAAACATTCAGAAGCTGAAGACATCTAATTTAAAGTAGAAATTAAGACATAGAAAGCAATGAGGCAAACATTCCTAGTTACTGTGCCAAGATTAAATTGCCCTTTTCTATGCATCATTATCAAATCAGTCTAGTCAAAACACTAGCTAATTATATTATCAAACAGTAAAAGACTGGAGTTTCTGGAGTTTTCCATACCAGAAAAACATTCATCTCTTTTGCACCTCTCTTCTTCTTTTGCACCTTCTTTCCCTTTTCCCAACTAACATTTGAAGGGTAACACACATCTGATATTTCTAGATGTAATCTGTTTGGCACAGTTCTTGTATGCTTTTCAAATCCTGTTGGAATGTGTTTCAGATCCCCAAATCCTTAGTAAATTGAAGATCTATATTTGCATTCAAGCTCTCATGATGACTAATGCCACAAAGGGAAGTGGAATTTTCCCATTTTGATTTCTGTATTTTGCATTTACATAAGACTGAGATCTAGTTTATTATTCTTATTTCCATCTAAATATATATCTACTTCTTTGCTTTAGGATATATGACTGTGAGGCACTCTGAGCAGCCAACTTCTCCAATAAACTGGGAAGTCCCTTACAATGTTCATGGCACAATGGACTGGGGACAATGGACTACTGAATGAAGGTCCCACCCCACAGAAACAACATGCATACTAAAACAAACAAACAAAAAAACAAAACCAAAACAAAACAAAAAAACCTACAGTTTAATAGTGTATTTCCTTAAATTATCCTGCAATGTGGTTCAGTGAATTAAACCTGATTTTACAACTTGCTGTGAAACCAGAGGGAGAAAACAGCAGGGTGGTTTTTTGTAGGACCAAATCCTGCTGCATTGGTCAAGCAGAGATGCATTATTTCCATTATTTCCTTTTTACTTAAAGATTCACCGTTCATTACCAAGATCTAAGGCTAGGGAAGGAGTTAAAGACCTGGAATTCAAACTTAGGAGTCCCCATTTTTGCACGCAGTAGTTTAAGTTCCTCCCAGTGACACAGCTTACATGGCACTTTCTACTGCACAAACCCAAAGGGAGAATCAACCCTTGAACAGAGAGGACAGCTTAGCAGTTGTACAACTAATATAAAATTACAGCATTTATTTCAAAGTCTGGGAGAGAGTTGTGCTGTCTTTTTTTTTTTCATACACACAGACAACAATTCCATCTCTTATGTACAAAACAAAGAGAAATATTTCATTCTAGCTGAAATAGTACTTTAATATTTCCAAAGAGTAGCACCTATAAGTAAGTTTCACATTAAATTTTAAAGCCAGTTCAGTCTGACCCCTTACTTTAAGGCCAAGAAATCAGAGATGTATTTATTGAGCATTCACATTCCACATCTAATCTTGCAAAATGTAAAGATAATATCGGAAGCTTTAAAAGCCTCTTCCATAAAGCACTACCTAGGAGAGAGCAATTAAGCACATACTAAATGAGCATGTGATATATTGCACTGAGGACTGGGTTGGATCAAGTTCATACCTTCATATTTAAAAAAATTGCTGACAATAAATGCACAGTGGTTAACATGCAAAGCTCTGCCTGAGATTCAGCAACAATCTCCTTGGTGGAAATTACCTGAAAGACTAACTGCCTTGAATTAAGTTTGAGCTATTAAGAAACTCAGTTTTCTCAACTCAACTGATTGCCAGCTGCCTTTAATTTCATTTTTCTTTGAACTGTTTCTGTGCTCCATGATGAATACTTGGGAAACCCTTCTACTTCAGGATGAGCATCTGCTCTAACAGCAGTACCCTCAGCACTCAAGGAATAGAAAGGTGATTAGGAATTTTGAGTGGAGCATGTAATCCTGCTTGGCTCTAGCATTGTGTAAATAAAACACATTTTTGGTACTGAAGATCCAAACCTTCTGGGAGGAGCATTTGTGACTCCATAACCGTATTTAGTCAACTGAGCCAACTGTCTGTAACATCTGTGTTCTCTAACTTGAGAATATCTCATTATGTTATGAAACATTCAATCCAGCCCCTTGAGGTTTTGACTAATGTATTTTATCACGTCCTAATCAGATGAGGACATTCAGCCTGCTCATCATTCATCATCTCAGCTACAGAAATCTTCCAACTGAAAAACCACCTACTCCAAAATTGCACTTAACGTGTCAAGTTTGGAACCAAATTCCTGTCTGACACATATCATCAATTTAAGTCTTACAAATGTCAGTCACAGGAGACTTTCCCAGGGACATCTAAGGCCTTTGGACTGGGAGAGGACACAAGCAGTAGCTCTGAAACAGCCATTTTTGTACCACCATTTCCATTTAGGAGACAGCTGAAGCCATAGAGAGGATGTAGACAATGTCAAATTTATCCAGAAAGATACTTTTGAGGAATGGATGTTCAACCCTGGAATTAAATTAGACATCCATGATTAAACAAAGCCCAAGTTTCTTGACGCAAGCACCTTGCAGAGTCCGTGTTCTCAAATTCTCTTGATACAATAAGAAATGAAATCCAGTTTGAGAGTGGAGGTACAACTGAAGACAGGACTCTGTCTGACACTCAGAGGGACCACTCTTTCTTTTAAAATTACCTCAATCTTGCCATTTCACCCCCTAGATGTTACCACATTGTCAAACTTCAGTCTTCCAGGATAAAAGAAGTGTCTACATCCAGCTAAACTTTTCTGACCACAAGACTGAGAGAGATTTTTCCTGCAGTTGCAATACACACCGTGGGAACAGACCTCTGCACCTCCAGCAAAAACAGGGAGCAAAGTTCTTCCTGCACTTAATGAATCCCTGATAAGCCAGGCAATAGGAAAGATGAAGCAGTCAAAGTCGTGTTATACAGGGGTCAAGAGCCAAACATGCAAGAGGGTGAAGGGAACATTGTCACCAGAGGAAAATGGAGGTTAACAAGGGCAGGAAATCATTTGAGTCCAGAATGATTCTGCCAGAGATGTCTCTGAAACCAGGGAAGAGAGGATGGAGTCTATTCTACACTAAAGGAGCAGAATAGCAGAGCTATGTATTTGTAAGATCTAGAAAAAGATTTCATCAGCTGGTTAATTCCTAATCTAGTAAGTCTTTTCTGCAGTAGGAAATTATTGTATAAATGTTTTTAAAAAGGAAAATAAAAACAAAACCAGCCATTAGTTTCAACCATCTAAATATACAAAAATCTGCTTAAACCTCAAAATTAAATCCCAGTAAGCTGAAATGGTAAATCATGCATAACTTTTTCTTTCTACTATGAAACAATGTGTTTTTAACTCTAGGCACTTTTTCAATTAGATTTCACTCCACGATTTTTTATTTATTTGTTGTTAGCTGTGGGTACATATGCAGCAGCAACAACAGAAAAAATGAAATACGCATTGTAAACATGTTCTAAAACTGAAATCCTCTGAGCTTTGAAAATGGGGATAGGTAGTGCATCATTCAACAGAAAACACTGTCTCAGAAAAGGTCAGAGAAAATAATAAAAAAAAATTCACTATGTTTTGATGTTCAGCCTATTGTGGCTTTTAAGAATTTATGGAGTGGCAAAGAACCAGATCTTGGAACCTTTCTATGAAATGTAGGGTGTGTTGCCACTGCAGTCAAAGGCTGATTGCAGCATATACAGACCTTAAGCTGAATTTAAGCTAATGTGCTTAGAGGTGCTGGGCACAAGCAATTACAGCAACCTCCATCCAGCAAAACCAGCCATTAAAGGGATCAAATCCGCTGAGGAGTTTGCACCCAGGCTGAGCAAGAGCAAAATGGCTCTGTGTAAGCTGAGCCTGAGCACACCTGCACATGCCACGGCCACACCACAGCTGAGCTCTAACCACCCATCCTCCTGGAGTGGGATTCAGATCACATAATAG